ACGGCTGAGTTCATGCACAAGGGGAAAGACGGAAGGAACCGGCCCCCGGGAGAAACGGGGCGCTCAATGTCCTTACAGTGCGTTTTCAATGTGTCACATTTCCTTCTGCTGTGAGAAAAGTGGTGAGGAATGTCACAGGACCTTGTGGGCCGTTCGAAATGAGATTCATTTAAAATACTGCTTAAACGTGGGGCAGGTCTTGTTTTTTACTTAATTAAGGAACCCTGGGCCACCTGTGCGGGGTGCCGCTGTCGGTGTGAGCTGCGTTCACGTAATCAGGAAGGTGCGGGAAAACGAAGACGCAGAAACGCCTGCAGGTTTCGCCTCCCTGCCTTTCAAACAAGAGCGTTTTCCTTCCCTTCCCCTGCAAGCCTTATCAGATGACAGGGTTTATTTTATTTCTTTTGAAATGGAAGACTGGATGAGGCAAGGACGGGGAACCTGACGGGGAAGTCTAAAAAAGAGTGCAGAATGGATGAGAAGACAGAACAAATTAAAGCAAACAAATTTATTTTTTTATCTTTGAAACCATTTCTCAAGATCCGAAAAGAACGGCAGACGTTAAGAAAGAAAAATAATCTGTACTACTAAGGAGAAAACGGCCAGTTTCCTCGGTATTCTTTGAAGCAGAACGCCTGGCTTTGTCACATCAGTCCCTCATTCCGAAGAGCGGACATGCCACCCAGGCCGCTGGGTTAGAATCGTGACTCGATGTGAAACAAGCTGACCCGAAGAGCAGAAGGGCAGTGAGCCTCTGACAGCATGGAGGGACCTTCAGGGGCCTCCGCCGCCAAAGGTGGTCTTCCCTGGGGGAGGAGCCCGGCAGCTCACTCTCGGCTGGGCCTGAGCTTACACCTTGTCTCTAGAGGACAATCTGCCTTCTGCTCTGATGACCCTTTGGTCATTTAAAGCAAGCCATGGGGGCTGTTAGAGGTGTCTGAATGTCCATTCTCGCCAAGTATCCTTGGCATCTTCATCTGACACATAGGACACTTAAGGAAGGTGCCTGGTCCAGATCGAGTAACAAGACAGCAGCCTAAGCACAGGGTGGTGGCAAGGGGTCCCTCCCTGCTGCTCGATACAAAGAAGGCTCTGGGAATGATAGGGTCGATCAGATAAATCGTCTCTTCTGCTAGACTTAAGTCCCATCTCCACTCCCACCTCACATATGGCCATCTCTGAAAGCCCGATGAAGAATGAGATAAACTCAAAAGCAGCCATCAAAATCGGACCCACAAAAATTGAACACAGCCATAAGACGAATGGCACAGGAAGCACCCAGGGAACACGCCGCCGACTGCCATCAGCGTCCCTTCCGTGAGCTGGCATGGGAAGGGAGAAGCCTACTGGCCTTCTCTTCTTCATGACAATAAAGAAGAAGGTGTGTGAAATGTAACCCCCAAATAACAGAACCCATGACTCGGCAGGGGTCCGCTACACAATAATCACCCTTTGAGTGTAGGGGCCACTCAAATGCTACAGCATGTCGGAACGTGGGAACGTAAATCCATCGTAGGACCTGGGATGCAAGGAGAGGGACTCGGTTCTTGGGAAGGCAACTTAAAGCTAAAACAGGATGCCCAACTATTAAGATAGTAGCGATAGTAATAGTAACAATAACAATAGCTTAGCAAAGGCTACATGCAAAGCCTTACGCTTCAGCAAAGCTAAACGTGATGCACTCTGAAAGCCAGAAGCCCAGCTATGTAAAAGGAAGCAAGTCACGGCGAGGTCAGGATAAGCTGGGGAGGGGTAAAACCTGGGCCGGGAGAGGTGCAAAGGGCTTTGCTCACTATTTAACGCAAAAAGCACAGCGAGTTAATTTTCTATTTCAGGGAAAATGTCTTACTCTTTGCAGTCTCATCTTGTTCTTCTCGGCAGAATCTTTGACCAGTTTCTTAGTTACCTGAAATGAAAGACGTTTATCTTTAAACGTGCGTTTTCAGTCGTGTTGACACATTTAATGCATTGCATAGTCCTTGGGGACAGGGAAGGAGGGAACAAGTGACCCACATGACTAAGAACTTCTTCGCAAAACGAGAAAAATGAAAACCTTTCCAGGGGACCAGTTTCCACCACACAAAATCAAATGTCTTAGTGGGGTCGTAAGCGCCAACGAGGGTGCACACGTGTGCGTCCGGGCGTGAGGGGAGACCGGGGAGGCAGATGACAAATGAATGACGGGGGCCACGTGCAAGAAAAACGAGGCAAGTTCAAAAACAAAAGCCACGCAGACGACACGGAGTGGTGAGGTTTGTAGCCCACTAAGGGGGGCGCCCCCGGCCAGAGGCGTGGGAGGTCTCCCAGGGCCGCGGCCCGGCACTGCTGCCCCTTCCAACGCCCCAAGAGAACTGTCAACTTTTTGGTGAACTTTGTAGGTAATGTCTAAAAACTAACACTGTGAATCGAATAAAACTTCTAAGGGCTGCATCCCCATGGGCCACCGATCTGTCTCTCCGCCTGGAGCAGATCCGCTCTTTAGAACGCTTGCAGGGAAGAAAAGGTCAACCGGCCAGAGGTGGCTATCCGGTCTAGAACCCTGTGCCCAAAAGCACGGGATTCCCTGTCACCCCGATGCACCACTGGGCGCACGCGCACCTGCCCACCGGTGGACATGCGAGTGTGAATGAGGCCAGGCGCTGGCCCGAGCTTGGTCCGGGGCCAGGAGTCCCAACGACCCAGCCGAGGGGAGGAAGGGCGGCGAGGAGCGCTTGGCTGTAAGACGGGGCTCCGCAGGCACATCTGGCATGGACAGGCAGCCAGGACGACGAGACCGAAGCAGAGCTAGAAAGCCATAGGTCCATTTCTCTTGACATGGCCTGACATAGCAACAAAACTAGGTGACCGTGATTTCTCTATCTGGGGAAGCCTCAGCCCTAAGACCTCTTACAGAATGGAACTCACAGATTAAGAAACCCGAGAAGGCGTCCTTCTCACTCGGCATGTCAAGCTCCTCCTGGACTCAGGCTTCCTTTAGAAAAGGGCCGAGCTTTCGTGTGAAAGCCACGTGTTGGCAGGAGCTCGAACGCCACTGAGACTGTGCCCGAGCGGGCACATGCCAATGGACATGCCAGTTACCAAAGCCACGTTACCGAGAGCTTAAGGAAATGCACCTGCCTCTCCAGAATCCACTTTGCCCACCACGTCTGTGGACTCCAGCCCCACAACAGGGGTAGCAGAACCTGTAAGCTGCTGTCTATGTCGTTGTCCTTTGTGTTCAAAGATTATAGTAGTGATGTGATTGCCAGACTCCATTATGAGAATATTTGGTGGGCAACATACGTACTTAGTCTTGCCCATACTTGCGAAATTTCAACTGCAGACTCTAATGCCTCATGCTCTGCTTCCCCTTTGCTGTAAGTCCAGGAATAATAGCTGCCGTGACTATCAGGAGCCATCTTAACAACGTTCCACGACCACAGCAATCACGATCTAATTTAAAACCGGCATCTCTACTGCTTTGCTAGACATTTGGGTGCACCTTATCCGTCTGATATAATTTTATCTTCTTGACATTTGGCCCGAGTATTCACAGTATTCTCTCGAAATCGTGTGCCATACATTTTACCTATCTGGAACACAGCCGCCAAAAACAAGACCTGGGATCCCAGAAGGAGGCTGAAACGCACACAGCAATTGTCAAGGCAGATTTAATTGTCTGTGCATTAAAATTCCTGCTTTTTATTGAGAAGAATCGTCTCAGAGCCCGTTGACTCTGATTTTATACACAAGGAGATCTATTTTCTAAGCTCAGAGCAGACAAGCAGCAGCGAGCGAGGTGAGAGAGGGTGGTGTGGATGGGCCCCAGCAGCAGCTAAAGACCTAATGGTAGGGGCAGAGGCAGAGGGGAAAAGACACAACCCGAATCGGTCCAGACATATTAGAGCGCAAGTGAGCAAAACTTAGCGTGTATTCATGTCTTCAGTGAATGCGACCCTACCTGACAACAGCCCTGGGAAACATTACTGTTCTGTCAAGGCCGAGAACGAGAGACAACAGAAATATGCAGCAATGAGAATGACTGTACAGTGCAGCATAGCCGCACCACAGGTGTGCAACACAGGTGTGCAACACAGCAGCGAAGGAGATGCTTCTTCCTATGCCAATATCAAAAAAATATCCCGGACACCCTCCAATGAAACAAAGATTTACAGTGTACATCACGTAAGGAAACAAACTGATACTGTGTGTTCCTAAGGAATCTCCCATTTACCCACAACACAGAGAAATAGGTGATAATGGCAACCTACCTGGGGGAGAGAAAGGAGGCCAAAGGAGACTGTCGTGTTTCAATGATTTTTTTAAAACATGGAGACTTCAATGCCCGTAAAATTAAAATTATAAGGCAGAAAGTTCCAGTGATCTGGGCTGATTTGTACAGAGGTGAGGCAGAGATTCCAGTGACACAACAGGATCGACATCATCAATTGTGGAATGATAATCTCGACTCATCAATCAAGTAGGCCGAATTGCATGTCTCAGTGCAAACTTGGCATAAAAAGCTCTCATGCTAAATAGAAACTCTACGGCTACTCAAAAGACCTCAGGATTATCTAAAAGAGGTGTTCCTAAACTATTGTTTTCCAAAGTGAGGGTCACCAGATGTCTGGGAAGGGGCAGCAGGGACTGTATTTAACAAGCTCCCCGGAAGAAAAAACAACAACATACAAAATAGGATGAGTGAGCGTCTAGGCGTTCCAAAGCGTGGAGACTTTGCAGTGATAACTCCAGGACTAACCAGAGCCCAAGCAACACCGCACCCGTCACAACAGGGAACAATCTGGGGGCTCCCAGCAAGCCTCGGCCTACAGTCTGGAGAGGGGGTGGGGAGGGATAACGGAGTAAGGGAAGTGTTCCCCTCAGCCACAGGGGCCAGGAAAATCTCAGACGCCAAGTCAGGTACCAACCATAAAACACACAAATAAACGAGGCAGGAAACCTAGCACTCCCCAACGGTAAGGAGATGCGCGAGAAAGCCGCGTGGTGCGGGGTGGTCGTCTCCAGCCCTGCTCTCAGGAAGTCCTGCCATCACCGCACCCAGAGGCTTCCCTTCACTCTCAGATCTCTGGGGTCACCCAACATCAGGGGGCTCAACTTCTACTCTCCGTGACGGACAGGCTCACCTGTGGGTGGAAGGGGCAATTTTCTGCCACTGGCTCTGGGGTGGCCTGAACCTTCTTCACCACTTGCAGTGTGAAATATTTGCAAGGCTGTGTGACGGCACTGCCTTCTAGAGCATCTCAAAACCCCAAGCCTGAGTTTGGAGTAGCCTCGGACACAGGATTTCCTACACTGGGGATGTTTTACGCCATGTGGGCCAGGGGAAAGAACTAACGCTGCTTCATGAAAATGCCCAATTATGCAACCTCCCAACTCTCAGGCTTGGCTATGGGCGTAAAAACAAACTTAAAGAAATGAAGGTATTAAGAAGAATGGAAACATGTGTACATGCCCTGTTTTCTAGGCTAATTGGCTGTAACACCATCGTGTGACAAAGTATTTCTGCAAAAGATTAGCAGCAGTCTGGAAGGATTTCAACCAGCTGGATGGACCAAACAAGATGGCCGAGAGGAGACTCAAACCCTGATTCTGATAGTCTGAGCGACGGCTCAGATGGAAGTTTGAAAATTTATAGCCTCTGTCCGTCTGCCACATACAGCAACTGAGAAGAAAAAAAGATCGCTCCATTTGTGATTGCTATGTTCTGAACATAAAAAGGAAGCCATTTTCTCCTTTCTCCTGTACTCCTCAGGAGGTGGAAACAGAAAATGGAGTCATCTAGAAAATAATTGGTTCCTTAGAGATCAAATTTCAGAAAGAGATCAAGGTTGGCGGTTTACGGTCAAATTTAGCAGGTAGAGACTGGATGACTCATCGCAGGAACAAATCTCATGGATACAAAAACAAAGCTAAGATGAATAAACAGAAGTTCCACAAAACAAAAGAAACTCCCGAAGAACATCATTAGACACATTTTGGGGTTCTTGACTGACATCTGCCATTGCGCCGATCAGAAACCATGAACAGAAACAAACGTCTCAGAAGCCGTCCTTCCGGGGTCCCTACGAGGCTGCCAGCTTTGTCCTTCTTTCGTCTGTTCTGGGTGAGGTTTTTAAGATGGGTGGCCACGCTGACGAGAGCTGACTCTACAGAGCCCCCCACTTTAGTCTTCCTGCCGTCTGGGGTCTCTCCACCAATGCTGACCGACTTTACCACTGACACCCCAACAAGTCTGTGTTGCAACAGGAAGAAAGAATGAAGGGAGCTTAAGCCAAAGGCTGACACGAGGGGTGACAGCTGCCTGCTGACCCCCGCCATGCCCCACCACGGCGAAGCGAACCAGCACCCCTAGCCAGGCATGAACGACAACGGTTACCAGGATGGGAGTGACGCACGTGGCCCTGAATACCCCCAATGGTTTGATGTCGAAAAGATTCAGAATTCTGTATCTGTAGTCACAGGAGCTGGTCTGTGGCCCCCCTCGCTCGCCACTAACCACCTGGGGGAACCCGTGTCCCCAGGGTTTTGCAAAGGGGCGAGACTCAAGTGCCGCCAGCACTGAGGCGCTGGGGTCTGGGGAGGTACTCACTCTGCGGACAGGCGTGCAGGGGGGGAAGGGACTGGGGCTGCTGTGCTGTTTATCGGAAGCAGATCGGGCCTCAGGGGAGCTGGTGGGAGAGGAAGAGCTCAGGGATGAATGGCTGAGGACGGAGTCTTCTTCGGGGCCAGACTCCGGCATCTCGTTCTCAGAGGGCACGCCCCGGTCCGGAGCGGTGGCCGGAGACCGGGCCACGGGAGGTTCTGCAGCCAGGATATCCTGCAGGACCACCACAGGCACCTTCCCTCTGAACAGGATGCCCCCCGCTTCGCTCCAGCCGTCCCGGTCCTTCTCGGAGCACGTTCTTGGACCGTCTGTCAGCGCGGGGCAGCTGTGGGGTGAGCCTTTCTGCACGTCTCCGCTCCTCCCTGCGCCCCCTGAGCTGGGGCCCTCTTCCTCTGTGTTGCGCAGGTCTGAAAGGGTCTTTTCGGGAAATGCAGGCTTGTCCTTCGGACTGGCCTTCGGCAGCCCCCTCTCCCCTTCGGCTTCTTCTCTGACCCCACTTACAGACTTCGCAGAGGGAGAGGTTGCAGAATTTAGTTTACTGTGGGCCCCGGTGTCGTCTGGTGGTTCACTCGACTCCTCCGTCAAGTCAATGACGACCATGGACTGGCCAATATTGCTTTTGACTCTGTTTCTTAAAAGGTTATCTAAGGGACCCTTCCCATTGACAAGCTTCGGCCTAAAGTCTACGTCGGACCCCATGTGGAAGTTGCTCTCCAAGCTGTCCAAAGAGGCGTCTACGTCGGGGCCTGGACTTTGCGCGGGAGCGCTCGGGGAGCTTCTTGTGTCGTCCGACCCGTCCTCGGTTTTCTCCTTTGGGGTAAGCGTCACGGGCTTGAAGGGCAGACGAGCTGAAATGAAGAAAGGACTCCATCTTTACAGTGAAAGTGTGAAGTAACAATTGATCAGTGCTTTAATATTCCACATGCTCAAAACTGATCGTCCTTGCTGGGTTGGGGGGGTTCATACTCATCCGTTTATACACAATCACGCCCTTGGGTCCTGCGATTTGCCCCCAACCCTTTAACCTCCGGGGGCTGCTGCTCCTATCCCGGTTCCCCGCAACACCAAACTTGCTCTCAGTCCACACAGGAAAAGGCAAATTGCTACAGGGGGGAACCAAGTGGTAAAAAAACAGAAACCGTGGTTTTTAACACAATCCAGCCACCACTTTGACTTCAGTGTAAACGCACTCTCCCTTTCACACAAAAGGATTTGGGGACATTTATCTTCCTGAACAACAGTGGTTCAGGAAGCTGAGCCCGCCCAGGAACATCCAGCAACGTCTCGAGATATAATTGGTTGTCGCGCCTTGGGGGAGGACAGGGATGCTGCTAAACTCTCTGCTATATACAGGAAGCAACGTCTCGAGATATAATTGGTTGTCGCGCCTTTGGGGAGGACAGGGATGCTGCTAAAGGACAGCCCCTCCCCCCAAAATGACAACAT